GGCTCGGGGGGTGGCGGCCTGTCCGTGAGCCCCAGCCTTGGCGACAAGCCCATGACCCAGCGGGCGCTGACCGTGTTGATGGTGGTGAGCGGCGCGGTGCTGGTGTACTTCGTGGTCAGGACCGTCAGGTGAGGCGAAGCCTCTCTCGATGGGGCTCCCTGCGGACCTGACGCGGGCTGGCCGGTCACCTCCTCCAGCAAGGCCGCCCTCTGAGACCCGCATCGCTCCCTCCTTCTCTCCCAGCTTCCAGGGCCCTGGGCCTAAGTGAGAAGGCAACCTGGACCTTCTTAATAACCCGTTAACCTTTAGAGGAGTGTAATCTCCAAGTAATGGCTGCCCTTGGTTTACAAATTAGTACCCCTCCTTCCTGTCTCTTCATCTTGCCCGGGAGGCCGCCTCAGCCTCAAAGAGCACCATGTCTCAGAAGTGGAAGTAATCCTTTATCTCTTTGATTGTTCACTTCACCGTCTTGTAAACTCCCTTTCTAGTCTGTGCATTTTTGATGTATCTAACATGTCAAAAATGTGCCTATCAGGATGCAAACTTTTTAAGGGCAAGATACCTACTAGTCGGTTTGTTAAGTCAGAGGTCTTTGTACTGCACTGCCAGAAGGTAGGGAATCAATATTTGAGTGGATTGTGGATATTTTATTTTTCTAAAATTTAGGAGAAGAAAAATTCTTTCTTCCCATCGTTGTTTCTTAGTATAGGCCTTTAATATGCCACCTAAGTAATTAGATTGTACCTAATTATTTGAGGACCACCTCTGTGAAGAGCCATCGTAGAGAGCCAAGACCCCTCACCTTTAGAGGACGCTGGCCAGAGAGCTGAGGGAAGGGTATCTACAGTTTCCTCCATTGTAAAATGAGAATGAAGGGTAGGTCTGCAGGATTGCACTGTTTTATGTTCCAAACAACTTTAATTTTTTCCTATAATTATCCTCTGTATTATGATGTAATATTTTTCTTTAAATTGGTCATTGAAAGTAAAAATTTCCTCCTAACAAGTCATTATTGTGACATCATGAATGCTGATATAAGCCAACATTTGAGCCAACATCACTTGACTTGGGAATTTCTCTTCGGCCTCTTCAGGGAATCTACAGTATTAAACTATTTTCAAAGTAGCACATTCTTTTACAAGTTTATAGGGTACAAAAAGTTCCTTGATACCATTTTGGATTCTATGTTACAACTAACCTTTAAGAAACTACCTCTTGTCAAGTTTTGGTGTAATATAAAACAAGAATAACCACAAGTATTTGAAAAAGCTGTTAAAGTGCTCCTTCCCTTTTAATGTTATATGAAGCTGGATTTTCTTCATACCTTTCAACCGAACAATACATTGCAAGTGACTGAGCACAAAGCCAGTGTGAATATCTTGTTTTCTAGTTTTGGTCTCTTTCTATTGTCTATTCTGCTTCTGTCAGTTTAAGCAAGCAATTAAAGGGACTTGAAAAGAAACCTACATAAATGTCATTCCTTTTACCATTTTTTTCTTTTTTGGCAATGTATTAATTTTTCATAAAAATTTAAATTATTTTATATCAATTGCTAAATATTTGTTTTCTCAGTATTTATTAACATTTATGATTCTCATAAATAAAAGTTTAGGTTTTCAGAATGCAAAGGTGCCCAAAACATTTGAGAACCACTGATATAAATGGTAGTATTTGAATTAGATGCTATTGGTTCACAAAAGCTGGTAAATCCAGGCCAATTCTCTGTTAAAGGGGAAGTTGGAAAATATTTGTGAGGAGCCTACTGCCACCAAATTGATACTTTTTTGATATAAAAGAGATTAAAATAAAATTTAAACCAATTATCTTTCTCACTATATGTTATTCTGTGCTGTCTGCATGTAATTCCTATGAAGATCCAGGTATCCTACGTATTATATCTCGTATGGATTATGGGGTGATGAAAGTTTTGAGGAATGTCCCTTACTCATTTTTGCTTTTGATTCCACATTTTTAATGATTTTTATACATATGTTTATTGCCATTGGTTTTTATCATTGTTTTTAATACTTGAAAGGATACAATCTTTTCAATTAGATTCTACTGGATAACTCAGTACATGTTGTCTGATAAAAGCTAACTTCTAACCTGTGGCTAATAAAAACTGCATTTTTTAGCCAGTGTATAATACATACATGCAGTCCAAGTCCCAAATCTAGTTGGCTCCCAAACTTCCGAAGCTTGATTGATGCTAAGAGTGTCTGGGTGATGTTCAGAACTCAGACGTTTTGCATCCAGATTTTGATTTTCATCCTTATTTTGGTGAATGCTCATTTTGGCTTTCACTTCCTAAACATGTGTGATAACACTCCAGCATTAGTTACTTGTGCCAAGAGGGAAGAATGGGCCAAAATCATTATTTTCTTAACAGATTGAGATGACACTGAGAATATTTACTTGTAAAATTTTATTAGGTTGAACTCCATGAGATTTCAGAATGGGTTTGTTTTATTCTAATGACTATATGACTAGAAATAACTTCCACTTTGATAATGGAAATATTCCAAGGAAGAATCAGACTCTCTGTAGAATCTGAAAAATATGTGTGCAGAATACAGCAGGAACAGAGGAGGCTTCCTAAAATAAACATGTGACCTCCGTGAGAAGATTCTTGCTGTCTGACTTATTTTCTATCGTACCTCCAGAACTGACTATCAGTACCGCATATGATGGGCACTGAATAAGTAGTTGCCTAAGGAATGAACAGTCTTAGTTTCTTTTCTGTATTGCTGTGGCAGGTGGTGAGGATTTGGAGGTTTAAGGATAATCGCTACCTACTGACAGAACAGAGCAATGTGACGATCTCTGTTAATGCTGAAGATTTTCTGCTTCTCTTTAGGTCATCCCCCTTGTAGTGTGAGGCTAGAAAAAAATTACTTTGGAGGTTTTTTTTTTTTAATTTTGGAATAAGGATGTTGATTATATTAAAGTAATTTCTATTAAACTATAAATAATGGTTCTTGACTTAAAATCAGGGAATTTCTATTTTTGCACCATTTCATTGCTGATTTTTCATTGATTATTCAATGTGGTCCACAGGAAGGAGGACGAGGTTTAGATTCTACCCCTTCCGCTCTTTCACCTCCATGCTGCTTAGTACATCACTTAACCTTTCCCGTGACATGGGGATTAAGAGCTAATGGATATGGTGGAGGTGAGTGGGAAGTTCCGACAGTGGCCTTCATTTGGGCTGTGAGTGTTTACTGGGCCCGATTCTGGGTACTGTGGAAACACCTGTGAGCAGGATGAGCATTGCTGCCTCTGCGGCCCCTGCGCACTGGAGGAGGGAGGGACATTACTGAGATAATCACACTCAGGGTGACCAGACTTTTAGCACTTCTGCACTATCCTTTAAGAGGAAGAATTGCCTTGGGCCATACATTAAATACACAAACACTAATGAAAGCTGATGAGTGGGTCTGTGGATAATTTTCATGATGTTGGCAGACAAACAGAAAGTCCTCCCATAATCTGCATGTGGCCTGTGGGCCACAGGTTGGACACCCCTGATAGACAGTGATATACAGAATGCTATGAAAAGGCATTACATTCTCACAGGTCCTATTAATGCTTAGTGTACAGGAAATATACAATATTTAATCTGATAGGTACCCAAGTCTGTAAACTAAGACACAAAATTAGTGTCTTTTCAAAGATCTTTACTTTATAACTGAAAGACTATTTTTGATATTTTAGTTATCCTAATAGCTAATAGTTATTAATTTCTTATTTATGTGTCAGATACAATGCCACATACTTGGTGTGCATTTTCCAATTCTTGCAAAAACCTGCAAAGTAGGTAACGTGTTGAGGAAGTCGAGGCTGCATAAGGTTAATGCATGTGTCCAGCAGCGTGTACCCAGGAATCGCCCCAACCCAGCCGGGCTGAAACTTACTTCACATGTTCTCCTACCGGGTTGCTTCCTGTGACTCCTCAGTGTAACTGGTTTAAAGCGACATTGCACATAAAGATGGCTAGCTTGTTTATGGCAAAAACTGATGTGGACAGCAGGCCTTTCTGTTGAAAACATGATTGTATTGACCCAAATTTCACTGTCTTAAAAAGTGAGTCAGTTTTGGAATTTATTGATCGTCTTACCTGTGCTGAGCTGAAATAGTTTGTCTGCTGCCTCAGCCCTTCATTCCTCACTCATCCAAGCGTTCCTCTTGGCTGGGGTCTCTTAATCTGTTCATATCTGTCTCTAGCTGATTCCTCCAGGAGTAAATCACTCATATATTATGAATATGAGATTAGTAACTATTTCTATCTCGATAAGAATATGAGTTAAGGAATTTCTCTTTTTCCAGAAAACATAAGATTTCTATCCTACGTATGGAATCATAAGATATCAATAGAAATCACTCAGTTTAAGCAAAAACAAGAAATACTTCGACTGTTTTCCCCTTTATGCATTTATTCACTAACATCAATTCAGTAAATTGACTACCTATATGTGCCAGCAGTTGACCCAGTGATAAGGATTAGTAGTGTACAATAAGGAAAAGTTCCCATTGTGTGGAATTTTCGTATAGTTGTTTATATCTTTAGAAAGTGGAGTTTCCCCAACAGGTGTAAATTGTGCTGGGTTGCCTTCATTTGACCAGCCAGGCACTAAGCATTAGAGAGAGAGCCAGAAGTTTAGAAATACATGTAATGCATGTTCTCAAGGAATTGATATATGTATATAGGTATACATATATATATATATATATATATATATGCAAAGGTTAGACTTACCTTCTCAAAATGTTTATGTACTTAAAACATAAAATATTAAGGTGGTTATGCGTTCACGTGCCCAACTGTCAGGATGGTGAGGGAGTATGAGAGGTGTGGCAGCCAGCTGTGCCAGGGGATCTGTGTGAAGTGATCTAGCAACGAAAATAATTTTTGGTTGGGTGTCACCACACAATAAGGAATATAATAAAGGGTCATGGCATTAGGAAGGTTGAGAACCACTGTGGCTGGTGAAAATGAAGAGGTTCTAATTTGTGGGTGGTGTTGAGGTCTGGACAAATGCTTCCTAAACTTTTTCATGTCAGGTCACACGTAAAAATTGATACTGGAGTGGATGTGTGAGATGGTGTGTCCTGGTATCATCCACCTTGG